TGTATGTATACATGCACACATGTGTGTATGTATGTTTGCATGCATGCATGCATGCAGGTGTGTAAACACGTATGTATGGGTGTGTGTATGCATGTCTATATGCATGTATGCATGCATGTATGTATACATGCATGTAAATGTGTATGTATGTATTTGCATATATGCATGTACGTATGTATGCTTGGATGCGTGTACAGTCATGAGATGCGTTGTAAGGTAAATTAGGGTCGTGCAAGTGAATGTATTGTAATGTAATGTAGGTACGCATGCATGTATGTGTGTACGTACGTACGTACGTACGTACGTACGTACGTATGTATGTATGTATGTATGTATGTATGTATGTATGTATGTATGTATGTATATATGCAGGTAAGTAGGTAGGTAGGTATCTATGTATGTATAAACCTAAATGGGCGTGTATACATCTGCATACTTGAGTGTGTATGCTTGAGCCGTTGCCTGCTTCGTCTTCTGGCCTCCCTCGGCGACGCGCGTCGCGCCCGCCCTGCGTGGCCGCTGCGCCTGCCGGGGCCGCCGCCCTGCAGAGCCGCCACGTGGAGGGGCGGAGCGAGCGCCTGGAAAAAGCGGCTTCGATCCTTCCTCGAGACCTCGATCCTCCTCGATACCTCCTCGCTCGATCCTCGATACCTCGATCCTCGATCCTCCTCGATACTTCGATCCTCCTCGCGCCTCTTTGGCCCTCCATCCTCCTCGGCCCCGCGCGGAGGAGCAGAAAAGGGGGCCGCCTCTGTCGGCCGCTGAAGCTCTGGCTCTGCGGCGCCTTCCTGGCTGCCAGGGGGAGGAGGAGGAGGGCCCAGGAGGGAGGAGGAGGAGGAAGAAGAGGAGGAGGATCGATCGATCCCTCGAGCTCTCGGGCCAGTTTGGGGCTGCTCTCCCTCGACTAGAGCTGAGCTGCGTTCGAAAGTATACTATGGCCTAGCTGTCTTCGCTTCATTGAAAAGGGGTCACTGGCGCCATGCGGCGCTCTGGCCCTACCTGCACCGACCTCCCCACGCAGGGGTCCGCGGACAGGGTAGCACCGGCGTTTACGGATGCCCTCTTGGCTGCCTCTCCCCACCGTTGTCCTGGCCCCCTCTCCCCCTTCCCTTTCGTTTCGGTTCGGGGGGGGAGGTCGGTGCATCACAAAATAGTTCGGGGAATTCGGACCCTGGACCTGAAACGTCTCTGGGGCATCGTGCTGAGGTGGAGGGGGAGCCTACCAGTCTGCATTCATTCGCGACAGCGCGCGCTCGTCTCGAATGTTCTCGGCGCAGCACGGGGCAGGGAGGTCTGCGGAACGAAGCGAAGTTGCACTCTATGCTCGGCGGCCTCTACAACCTCCCCTCGGCGATCTTCTTGAGCCCTCATCCGTTGATCAGCCTGCCCAGCTCCCGCTCCAGCGCTCCCCGAGGCGCCTCTCCCGCTTTGCGTGTCGCGCACTTGTTCCTCAGCTGGTTCACTACCATGGTCTTGAGCTGATGGTGTGCGCTCTTCATCTGGAACTAGAACCTGCACTTCTCGGCTGCTCCGCTCTCCTTGCCCTTGTTGCGTCTCACCCTGGAGACTGGGACGGAGTCTGCCACCAGCTCCGCGTTGCCAGTGAGCAAGGGCTCCCACGAGGGCGCGAAGTTATTCGCGCTTCGCGCTTCGCGGTCCTCGTTCCTTCTCCCCCCTCCTCCTCGTCCTCCCTTTTTCCCTTTGGGGGGGCGGCGCGAGGGCGCGAAGTTATTCGCGCTTCGCGCTTCGCGGAGCGCGAAGCGCGAAGTTGGGAGCCCTAGGTGAGGATCGTCTCCTGGTAGCACTTCTCGGTGAACTGCTGCGCCGCCCCGCATTCTGGGTTGTGTCCCAGGTAGACCACGACGTCCGTCCAGATCTTTCACGCGCGGGGAGGGAAAAAAAAAAAAAAAAAAAAAATGATCTTTCACGCGCGGGCTGCCGAGTGACGCCGTGCCGATTTGCCCTCCTCGAGCTGCCCTTCCGCGCAGGTCCTGCTTCCGCGTCGTTGCAGCCCTTGCCGCTGCCGAGCGCGGCAGCAGCTATGCTTGCGGCCGCCATGATCTCCCACGCCTGTAGCACTGCCGAGGCCAGTTCCGCCTGCTCTCTTGCTGGTGTTAGTGTTAAGTCGGGCCTGTCCCTCTTCAGGAGGAGTATTCAAACATAGTCCAACAAGTCAGGGGACGATGTTTTGAGCATTTGTTTGACCATTGTGGTGTATGGTTGGTATTGTTTTCGCTGTTCCTCCCAAATGCGCCTGTAGGGGGGCATGCCCCACCTACTGCTAGTGCCGAGCGCGCCGTGCGGTCTACCGCCTGGTTGTCGGGTGCTGCCGCGGTGCCCCCCTGCCTGCCCCGCGGGTGCGCGTCGTCCCCGCCTGCTTCGGAATCTCGGCGCGCGGATGCTGCTGTGGGTGCCGCCGCGCCCCACCCGTGGCCTCGGATCGAACAGCGCCATCCTGCGCTCGAAGCAGCAGCAGCAGCAGCAGCTGCCTCGGTGAGTGTGTGCACAGGTGTTTGAAGCAACTGCCTGTGTCCAGAGCCTGAGGACGACGGACAAGTAGGGCATCTCGGAAGGTGAGGTTCTGGCTGGCGTTGGTTTCTCGTTTTGTCTTGGCTGCAACATCCTTTCACCCTGCTTCCCAAGCTGTGCCTCTGCTCGTGCACACATGCCCGCAAGTGATGCACTCGTCGTTTGAGGCTAGAACTGCAGCTCGAGTATGTACAATATGGTTCCGTATGATGTGGCTGTGCAGTGCCTCTTTGCTTGCAACTCGCCGCCCGCACTCTTCCGCCTTCACCTGGAATTCGCACTTTTAGGGTTGTAGTTGCTGTAGGGCTAGCTCCTCACGTCCTCTCGTAGTTTGTCGCCACTGTTAGCTTAGCTGGCCTGACTTCTCTGACGTCTAGTAGGCGTAGTTGCTCTCGTGCGTCTAGCGTGAATAGTTTGCCGATCGAGATCTCGTCGCCGAGTGTCGTACGAAAATTCTCCGAAACCTCGCAGGCGTAATCAATGTCGTTCCCGAATATTCGGACCCAGGGGGTCGTGTCGCTCTTGAGCTCGTCTGTTGTGTCTTCGGCGTCCTTTCTCTGGAACTCGATTCGGCCGAACATCGCTACGGAGGAGGAAACGGAGGAGGAGGAGGTGGAGGAGGTGGAGGAGGAGGAGCCCCCCCTCGAGGAGCCTCCCCTCCCGACAAAGAAATCCTGCCGAGGAGGAGGAGGAGGAGGAGGAGGAGGAGGAGGAGGAGGAGGAGGAGGAGGAGGGGCCCCAGTATTATTTGGTCTCTTGTATGTTTGCGCCTTCCTCCCTACTGTGCACTGCCGCGGACTAGGGTACTCTACGTCCTGCTGGGCCAATGGTCACCATTCTTTCAGTTTCGTTCTCTCTGCATTGCTGTACCTGCACCTGTTCGCGGCTTACTGTGTTGCTCGATTGGTCTAAGTTGGCCACTTTCTTTTGTTCCTTTCACGCACGAACGTTCCAGCCAAGCAGCCTGAGTGTGCCCAACCCTGAAGGCATGACGCCTCATGATCCTTGCCACCCCTGCCGCTCATGCACCTCCTCCTCGTCCCTTTCCTGCCGCACCCCACCATCCAGCCGTGAGGGTCGACCTCGCCCGCGCCCTCTGCGCCCGCCTCTTTGCTCTGGCTCCCCCCCTGCTCCCCGTGCCCATTATCTGTGGCTCCTTCTCAGGGTCGACCCCCCTCGCCTTTCGTCCTGCCGCCTCCCGCCTCCGCTTCCAAGGCCCCGGCGCGTGGCCTGGCTACTCTGGGGGAGTCGCCCTTGCCCTGTAAGCGGCAGTCAGGGTACGGATCCTTGATCCAGAGGCAAGAACCCCTAGATGCAAGCATTGAGCGAGGGATAAAAAGAGGAGGAGGAGGAGGAGGAGGAGGAGGAGGAGGAGGAGGGAGGAGGAGGAGGAGGAGGAGGAGGAGGAGGAGGAGGAGGAGGGAGGGGGAGGAGGGGGAGGAGGGGAGGAGACGGAGGAGGAGGAGGAGGAGGAGGAGGAGGAGGAGGAGGAGGAGGAGGAGGAGGAGGAGGTGGAGGTGGAGGAAGAGGAGGAGGAGGAGGAGGAGGAGGAGGAGGAGGAGGAGGAGGAGGAGGAGGAGCAGAAGGAGAAGGAGGAGGAGAAGGAGGAGGAGGAGGAGGAGGAGGAGAGGGAGGAGGAGGAGGAGGAGGGAGGAGGAGGAGGAGGAGGCAGGAGGAGGCAGGAGGAGGGAGAAAGGAGGGAGCAGGAGGGAGGAGGAGGAGGAGGGAGGAGGGAGGAGGGAGGATGGAGGAGAGAGGAGGGAGGAGGAGGAGGAGGAGGGAGGAGGGAGGAGGGAGCAGTGTGGTTGCCTGGCCCGTCGTGTACCCCGGGGTCACCACGGGGAGGTACGAAGAGAGCTGTGCCTCGCGCATCGCAGATGGGGCCGACGAAAACGTGCGGCTCCTCGGTGAGGGGGCCCATCGTAGAGAGTACTGGATAGGGGATAGGGCGTCCCTGCTAAGGACCCCTCCTGGCCGGAAGTCCTCAGCCTGGGAGCTCTCGCCGAGGACGCCGAGGAGCTCTCGCCGAGGAGCCCTTCCCAAAGAGCTCTCTCTCTTCCCAAGCGCCCCTTTTGCGGAGGATTCCTCGCTTCGGGCACCCCACGAGTGATCGGAGGAGGAGGAGGAGGAGGAGGAAGAGGAGGAGGAGGAGGAGGAGGAGGAGGAGGAGGAGGGAGGCTCCCGGGGGCGGCGCGAGGGGCCCCGAGGAGCAGCGCCGCGCGCCGCGCACCGCGTGGGGCGCCGCGGCGCGCCACGGGCAGCGCCCCCGCCCCCCCTCCTGAGGACTCCAGGAGAAAATCCTCTCCTCCCTCCTCCTTCCTCCTCCTCCCTCCTCCTCCTGGTCTCCCTCCTCCTCCTCGTACTCCTCCTCTTCCTCCTCCTCCTCCTCCTCCTCCTCCTCCTCCTCCTCATCCTCCTCCTCCTCCTCCTCCTCCTCCTCCTCCTCCCACTCCTCCTCCTGCCCCGGCCAGGTCCGCATCCGGTGCAAGGACTACGTGAAGAAGATCGCCGTCTACCGCGACCGCCTGGCTGTGCAGCTGCCCGACAAGGCGCGCTCCCGCGCGCGCGCGGGCCCCCTCCGCGCGCCCTTGGGCGCCTCGCCGCCGAGGGAGGGGCAGCAGCGGGGCGAGAGAGAGCGGGCTGCAGGGGGAGGTTGGGGTCCTCCTCTGCTGCTGGATGCCGCCGGCGCCACAGGCGAGAAGGCATCCCTCCCGGTGGTGGGTGCCGCTATCTCCATCGGGCGCGCGGCAGCGGTGACCCAGACCCGCGTGATGTATGGGGCGGGTCTCCAACGCGTGGCAGTTATCAGAGTGAGGGGGCCGAACGGTCATTCACTGTCCCTGGGCGCGTGACTGAAGTGAGGTTCTGCGGTGCGGTTCTGAGGTTCTCGAGATTTCCTCTCTTTCTCCTCGGGACGGTGCTGTTCCTCGCCGCCGACAGCCCCCGTCCTGACAAAACCGCTGCTCCCGCTCGATGCTTCCTCCCTTCTTACTCAAGGCGGTGTTCCTCCTCGCCGCCGAAAGCCGCCGTCCCAAGAAAACCAGCGTTCCAACTCGTTTAGTTTTGCGCTGGACTAGCGCCCTGCTCTCTTCAGCATTGGCGCCGCTCCCAACAACAACAGCAGCCCTGCTCGAGACTTCCTCCCTGACTATTCAGGGCCAGGTCCTTGCCTCACCGCCGACAGCCCCCATCCCCACCAAGGCAATCCTGTCGTTCGATACTTCCTTGTGCTTTACCCTTCGCTGGGATTCCACTGGCGGTCTCGAATCGGCGCAGCAAGGCGCGGGCATGTGTTTTCGAGGCGGGATATGTTGAAATTCCTCGGAGGAGGTGTTTGCAAGACCTCATTGGGCGGAAGATCTGGGAATGGGAATAACGGACCCCGCTATAAAACAAGAGTCCCCCATTACGTGGATGGTTACCATGATGGTCACACGCTCCGTGTGGAAACATCGCGCATGAGGGTAACATGATTGCTGTTGTTGTTGTTGTCGTTGTCGTTGTCGTTGTCGTTGTTGTTATTGTTGTTGTGGTTGTGTTTGTTGTTGGTTGTGGTGGTGTTGTTGTTATAGTTGCTGTTGTAGGTGCTGGTGTTACTGTTGTTGTTGCTGCTGTTGTTGTTGTTATTACTGGTGCTGTCTTTGTTACCTGGTTTGTCGTTGCTGCGCTTGTTGTTGTTGGTGGTGTGGTTGTTGTTGTTGGTGGTGGTGGTTGTTGTTGTTGGTGTTGCTGTTGTTGTTACCGCTGCTGCTGCTGTTGTTGTTGCTGCTGCTGTTGCTGTTGGTGCTGTTGTTTGCTTGTTTGTTTCTTTGTTTGGTGTTAACTGTGGCTTGGTGTTGTTTGTTGATGGTGTTTTGTTGTTGTTGTTGCTGTTGTCGTTGTTGTTGTTGGTTGGTGGTGTTGTTGTTGCTGTTGTTGTTGGTGGTGGTGGTGTTGTTTGTTGCCTGTCCCCCCCACGACCCAACCCGCGACCCACCCGCAACCCACCCGCGACCTACCCACAGCCCACCCGCGACCCACCCCGCCACCCGCCCGCGACCCATCCGCGACCCACACGCGACCCACCCGCGACTCACCCGCGACTGGGCCCGCGACCCACCCGCGACCCACCCCGCGATCCACCCACATTGCTTTAACGAAAAAATGGGCGCCTGCGGCGGGCTCATTGCATAATTTGTAAATTCGGCGCCTGCGGCGGGTTTCTTCAGAGCCTCGCAAACTGATGACGTCCTCGCCGCTCCCTCACTCTTATCCGCAATTGTGGGGTGCCACGTATCATTTTGTAAGGTTGGATCGTGAGTCTGTTCGTGGATCTTTCGCCACGTGTTGCCCAAGGATGCGACTCTGCTCTACGCCCAGGGACACCTCAGAGCATGCATGGCGGCTCGGCCATAGGCCCCTAGCTGTTCAGGGGCAGCGTGGGAGGATAGGCTCAGGGCAGGACGCATCGGCCCCCGATCGCCCATGCATCGCCCACCCGCCCCCCAAGAACGTGCGGATCCGCTGTCGGGGACCTATCGCCGATCTATCGGCGATGCATCACCGATGCCAGCTCGACGCTTCCCCGCCTGCTCTGGTCCCCCCCCCTACCGCTCCCCCTCGCACAGGGGGGCCCAATCGAGACGCCTCGTATTCTAAGTCACAGAGCACATCCGGGAATGCCGGCCGGCTCGAGCATAGGCCCCCAGTATTCCTACACGTTCCCGCGCGGTCACCCGGCACCATCCGGCTCTGCAGAGGCCATTTTGGGCACGTCAGCTTTGGACGGGGTTTCCCTCTGAAGGTCCTCCTGCTGCCCACTGGAGCCACTGGAGCTGGGCCTGGACCTTACAGTGCCGTTTTTTCATACATGCTCCGCGTGCGGATCATGTATTAAACATGCAGGGAGTTAGTATCAAAAACAACGATGAGTTCATGCTACATTTATATAAATATAGTAGCCATGTATTAAACATCTTTTAAACAATTCTATGTATTACAAACTGCCCTGTGCGCCCCTGATGGAGACTCTGTGGCTGCTGGCGCAGAGGGCCGAGGCCACCCGCCAGGCGCGCGAGGACCGCCGCGCCTCGCGCCGCGCGGCCCGGGCCCGGAGGGCGGTCCCCTTCCAAGGGGGCCGGCGCGGGATCGCAGGCATGAGCGGCGCCCCGCGCTGCGCGGCGCGAGGCGCGAGGCCGCGCCACCCAGGCGATGTGGGCCCGTTGTCCACCGCCACCACCAGAGGTTGGAGGGGAGGAGGAGGGGTAGGAGAAGGAGGAGGAGAAGAAGGAGGAGGAGGAGGAGGAGGAGGGGGAGGAGGAGGAGGAGGAGGAGGAGAGGAGGAGGAGGAGGAGGAGGAGGAGGAGGAGGAGGAGGAGGAGGAGGAGGAGGAGGAGGAGGAGGAGGACCCCCTCCCCCTCCAACTGGTGGTGGTAGTGGTGGTGGTGGTGGTGGTGGACAACAGGCCCATCATGACCCAGGAGCCCTTCCGACTTCACACCGGTTCGAGTCGATGCGGTTTCGAGGTTTCCGGCTCGGCCTCGGACTCTCCGACGTCGGTGTTTTGTTTTTTGTTTTTTGTGTTGTGCGTGACTCGGCTCGGGCCGCCTGGCGTCGATTGTTCGACGCCTTTTCCAAGCTGCCTGGCGTGTAGTCGGGCCTGTCCCTCTACAGGGGGAAGATCCCAAGTAGTAAAAATATAGTCTGGGGACAATTTTTTAAAACAAGTTTTTAGTATTTGTGTTCTTGTTGAGGCATTTTTCATTTTCCGCCCAAAACCCGCCTGTAGGGGACACGCCCGACCGAAGCCTAGCGACTTCAGCCGACCCGACGTGTTACGACTGCCGCTTCGACCCTCTGTTTCGATCCCACGTAACGACACTACGCCGACATCCACATCCAGGACTTCCCTCCTCCCCTCCTCCGTCGCAGATTTGTTTATTGTCTCGCTGTCCATATGCATGATCGCTTGCAGTCCATACGTACAGGTTTGAAGAGGCTACGGCCTCCTCCACCAGGTCTCGAGCAGGCCCGGACAGCTGTCCGCAGTGGTGGTTCGTTCGTTCGTTCGTTCGTTGGGCCATTCTGTGCAGAAGGGGCGCGTTCTGGAAGTTACGGCGGGCGGCGGCGGCGGGCCCCTGCGGCGCGCGGCGTTCCACGGGGCGGGGGGGGGTGGGCCAAGCCCGGGGCGCTGACGCGTGGGAGCGGGGGCGTGGTTGGCGTGGCGCGCCGGAGCGCGCTGGGCCAAGACCAGTGGAACGAGACGTTCAGCGAGAAGTCCTGACTGCAACTCAGCCACAGGCTTGGCATCGCTCGGACGTGTGCATTTTTTCTTCGGCGAGGACCATCGAGGGGCATCCTTGATCATTTGGCGAAAAAAGCCACGCACGAGACCGAAAAAAGCACAGGGAATGGACGTCCGAGCGATGGCGAGCAGGAGTGCGTCTGAGAAGTTGCCGCCTGTGGCAGGCTGTGCCAGATCTGGCACGCCACGGCCAGATAACACTCAGATCCCGCGCGAGGGTCCCAGGGCCAGCGGGCCCAGCCCGACGCGAGTCCTTCCGGATCGAGGGCTTCCAGAGCGAGGGTCGAGGTGTTTGGATTGCCCTCTCTTGCTCCTCATCCCCCCCTCGGTCCGAGCACAAGTTTGCCCATGGTCTTCAAGATGTCTCCCGCTCGGGGGCGTGCAGGGTGCAGCTTCAGCGAGGGACAGCGAACATCACGTTTGAAATCTAACGAACGGCGGATGTCAATGCGGTGGTGGCCACGCTGCGCGGGCATTTGGAGGAGTGAAGAGTCGAAGCTTACGTTCGCATCTCATTCGGGCTGCCCTTGATTGGATTCCAACCGCGCTCGCTTGCCAGTGATGCGGGGATGGCTTGGCCACGCAGTAGGGCTTACTGTTGATCCACATGCGTGAGGCGCGCTTTGTCACGCCTTTCTAATGTGACATGAAGTATGATGCACGGTTATATGATTCAAGCTTTGCCAGGTGCTTATCTACGAGGTCTCTCACGACGACCCTGTGGAGCTGCTGCTCTGTTGCCGCCATCACTCTTTGTCATCCTCAGCGTAATTGTTTCACCTGCAGTTCGCCATTTCAGCTTGTGCGATATCTACGTCGCCTCTTGAAAGTGATCCGACACCCTCGCACTCTAGTGTCTTGATGTTGCGGATGTGTTTGTACAGTGTGCGAAAGCATGCTTGCCTCACTTGCTGCAGCACCGTTGCGTTTGGAATGCGAGGATATGCACTACAAGAACATCGAGAAAATCAAGCAGAAGTTTGTTTGCTCTTTGCTTGTCGTCACGACCTGTCACATCATCCTGTGCCAGGAGCCATGGCGGCAGGCGGACTGTGTATGCGAGGCGTTTCATTTCTGCAGTTCAGTGCCCACCGTGACATTAACCATTCCGAACATCGCACAACGCAACCAACTCGACCACGAACAGTTGTATAAGTTAATATGCTGGGCGGCTTCTGGGAGACAGCCAAGGAGGGGGATGCGTGTCGGAGTTAAGATGGGGAGGCGAAGGAGGACGATGTTGATAATGTGAGAGGAGGAAGAGAAGGAAGTGAGGAGGAGAAGGACGGGGAGGAGGATGAGACAGAGGAGGACGAGGAGGACGAGGATTTTGGATTTCGCTTCAGCCGAAAGGTTGTCCACCTGCAATCTGGACATAACAGAAACATTTCTAATGTCTCTGCTGGGGAGGCTCTTCTCTCCCTGAAGGGTGACGCTGGCCCTGGCGCGACTCTTTCGCACGACCTGCCAGCTCTAAACTGCTGGGTTCGAATTGATCCCTCCTCCTTCCTCCCCCTCCCCCGCGAATGGGCGACCTGAGCACTCATTTGGCGCGCCGCCTCCAGAGGAGCGTGGGGGGTGGCATCCTAGAGGAAGAATCGACGCCCAGGCTCTTGCATCTGTCTGCAATGCCAGGCAGGTGGATACACGAATTGTGCCGGGAGTCGTGTAACAAGCAAGCCCCACAGTGGGTCGTCACGCTGCTCCTGCCAGGAGCATTAGCAGCCACGAATAGCCACCCGTGAGGGCAGCCACGAATAGCCACCCAGGCAAACAGCCACGAATAGCCACCCATGCTGATCAAAGCCTAGGCAATCGGGTGCGCCTCACTCTGCAGCAAACGCAAGGGGAAGGAGGAGGATGATGGGAGGAGGAGGAGGAGGAGGAGGAGGAGGAGGAGGAGGAGGAGGAGGAGGAGAGAAGCGTGAGGAGGAGGAGGAGGAGGAGGAGGAGGAGGAGGAGGAGGAGGAGGAGGAAAATAAAGAGACGTGTGAGGATGAGGAGAGGCGGAGCGAGGAGGCCAGCGCGGTGGTGCTGGAGGATGAGTACGGGAAGCGACGGCTGGGCGCCGAGAGGGCTGGCAGTGGAGGAGGAGGAGGAGGAGGAGGAGGAGGAGGAGGAGGAGGAGGAGGAGGAGGAGGAGGGAGAGGAGGAGGAGGAGGAGGAGGAGGAGGAGGAGGAGGAGGAGGAGGAGGAGGAGAAGGAGGAGGAGGAGAAGGAGGAGGAGCAGTAGCAGGAGCAGTAGCAGGAGCAGGATCAGGAGGTGGAGGAGGAGGATGAGAAGACGCTGGAGGAGGCGGAGGAGGAGGAGGAGGAGGAGGAGGAGGAGGAGGAGGAGGATCAGATGATGATGAGGACGAGAAGGAGAAGGAGGAGGAGGAGGAGGAGGAGGAGGAGGAGGAGGAGGATTATATTGAAAAAGAGATGCACCCCGCCGTGTCCGGCCGCGAGCGCTGCACCGCGCGCGCTCGCGCTGCCCCGCCTCCTCCTCCTCCTCCTCCTCCTCCTTGCTTCTCCACCTCCTTGTCCTTGCTGCTGCTGCTGCTGCTGCTGGTGCTCCTCTTCCGCCTTCTACTCATGCTCCGAATTCGGAGGCATGATATGTTTTCCTGGGTGGCTGCCGGTCGCCTGGTCGCCTGGGGGAGGGGGGGCTTATCAATAGGGAACAGTTATCAAGCGACCCCCCTAGATAGCAGGCCGTCTAGCTCACTCCCACCCGCTCTCCCAACGCATAGGTAACACCCGGGCCTCAGCATGTTCAGCGGTCGTCTTTGGATGGGCAGCTACTGGGAACCAGAAGCGGCCCCAATGTGCGCGACGCTGGGGCGAGGTGCGCCGCGCGTGCCAGGCGCGCCACGCGCGCCAGGCACCCCTGGGTCCTGAGCGTGCCAGGCACGCCTGGTGCGCCAGATGCACTACGTGCTCCACGTGCGCCAGGTGTGTCGCAGACTCCAGCCGCGCCAGGCGCGCCACGTTCGGGGCACGTTCAATGTGTGTCGGGTGCGCCTGCGCAAGTGACAGCACACATCGGGAAACATGTCCGCCCCCACCATCCTTGTCGAAAACCAATGCCCATCATGGTGTCTGGTGGGCCTGCGCACAGCAGGCCATACGCGACTACCCCCGCCGTCCCTGTCAAAAACCACTTGGCAGTGATCGCGGGGCAGCCGCGCATGACCCAGATTTAGCTGTGAGGTGCATGTTGTATTGTGTTTTGAAAGGGATAGCGGCCCTGGCACAGCAGGCAATATGCTGACATCCTTGCCTTCCCTGTCAACAAACAGCACAAAGTGCTCGCGGGCTTCACGAACATGATTCAAGACGTTGCTCCAAAGTGTACGTTGTATTGTTTTTGACAGGGATGGCGGGGGGGGGCGCGTCGGGTTGGTTGCGCGTGCTCCGAATTTGGAGGCATAACGTGTTTCGTATTGTTTTTTATAAGGATGGTTTGGGGGGGGTGATCATTTGGTCGGCATTGTTCTTGGTTGGCTGCCAGTCGCCTGGAGGAGGGGGTGCTTACTAATAGGGAACAGTGATCAAGCTACCCCCCTAAATAGCAGGCCGTCTAGCTCACTCCCACCCGCTCTCCCAACACATAAGTGACACCCGAGTGTCAGCAGATCGCTTATGAACGCCACAATGCCATGCGCGTCACGGGTTCCAGGTACAGCAGGCGCCCTGGAGGCCCAAGCGTGCCAGGCACGCCTGGTGCTCCACGTGCGCCTACTATGAAACATGTTCCAGCCGCGCCATGTGCGCGAGCTACGGGGAACCATGAGGGACCCCAGGTACCTGGGGCCCTGGCCTCAAGGAGTGCAGGATTTCGAATACCCCTGAGGCGAAGTGCCGAGCATTCTGTCAAAATGCAGCTCCTCCAAAAAACACAAAGCACCGGCACCGACGGACAAATCGTGATGTCTTCAGGAGCCGTGAAACAGATGAGATCTCAGGGAACAGAGGGCCCTGCGCATGATCCAGATTTGAAGCCAAAGTGTATTTTTGCATTGTTTGTTGACAGGGGTGGTTCGCCTGCGCGCAACACAATATGCCGGCAGGCACCCCCTCCGTCCCTACCAGAAAGCAATGCAAAGTGGTCGCGGGGCGCCCGCGCATGCGCCAGATTTGGAGGCAAAGTGCATTTTGTTTTGTTTTTCCAGGGATGGTGTGGGGGGGGCTCATTGGTCCGGGTTGGTTGCCGGTCGCCTGGGGGAGGGGATGTTTATTTTTAGGTAACAGTGATCAAAACACCTTTCCCGCCCGCAAGCCATCTCGCTCACTCCCACCCGCCCTCCCAGCACATAAGTAGCACCCGAGCCGCAGCGTGTTCAGCAGTAGTCCATGAATGGACAGCTACTTGGAACCGAAACAGACCCCATGCGCTATCCGTGCGCAACGCTGTGGCGAGGTGCGCCATGCGTGCCAGGCGCGCCACGCGCGCCAGGCACCCCCGTGGCCCAAGCGTGCCAGGACGCCTGGTGCGCCAGATGCGCCGCGTGATCCACGTGCGCTTTGCGTGCCGCAGGCTCTGGCCGTTGTCTGGTGCACAACGTTCGGGTCACGCGCGGAGCGTGCCAGGTGCACTTGCGCACGTGGCAGTGCACATTTGGAAACGTGTCGGCCCCCACGACCCTTGTCGAAAACCAGTGCGCAATCGCGGCGGGGTGGCCATCATAGCGTCTGGCTGGCCTGCACGTAGCTGGTCATGTGCCAGTACCCCCGCCGCTCGCGGGGTGCCCGCGTGTGATCCAGATCTTGCTTCGAAATGCATTTTGTGGTATTTTGACAGGGATGCTTTCCCTGCGCGCAGCAGGTAATCTGCGGGCACCCCCGCCGTTCCTGCCAACCAACAATACAAAGTGGTCGTGCCCCCTCCCGATCAGGACAAGAATTTGCCCCAAAGTGGACGTCACATTGTTTTGTTGGCAGGGATGCTGGGGGGCACATGGTTTTTGACAGGGAGAGTGTGGGGAGGTCTCATTGGTCCTGGTTGGCTGCCGGTCGCCTGGAGGAAGGAGTGCTTATATTAGGGAACAGTGATACACCACTCCACGCGAGGGAAAATGGAAGATGGAAGAGGAAACTCGCTGAACCACTCAGGCCCTAAAAGGCCTAACTCATCGCGCAGTTTCGATGCATGCTTGTATGCTTCCAGGTCTAGGAGGCCATAGCTTCACCTGCTTGGCCTTAACTCGGCCCGGACAACGGTCCACTGTGGTTCGTTCGTTCGTTCTCTCGCTCTTCCTCGCCTTCGTTGACTCTGCGTAGCTTCTTGCCCCCGGGCGGGCCCCTTCTGGGCCGTGGTGCGCTCCTCCTCCGTCTCATCCCTGCTGCTTCTCCATCTTTCCTCTTCCTCCTCCTCCTCCTCCTCCTCCTTTCGCCCATCTTCCCTTCTCTTCTGGAAGCGTATCGTCGACTGCGCCCGAAGACCTCCGGGAACCGCCAGGGGGGCTCCCCTGAAGCATGCGAGAGGACCTCCGAAGTTCGGTGAGGATTTCCGGACAGCTCCTCCTCCTCCCCCCCATTCTCCATCCCTCTCGCTCTTCCTCTCTTCTCATGCCTTCTCCCTCCTCCCTACCTCTCCTCTTCCTCCGCATCCTTCTCCCCTTCCGCTTCCTTGACTTCTCAGATGTAAGAGAATTTCTCTTGATGGTGTTTCGCCCTTTTGGGGCCTCTGGGAGGCCTCTCGTTGCCGTCGCAGCATTCGCGTATTTGTCGGGAGGAGCGGGGGGACGAGACGGAGAGCCAGGACCCCCCGGGGGCGCGAAAATATTTCGCGGCGTGGGCCATAGCGGTCGCCCTTCTCCAGGGAGGCGGCGGGAGGGCGCGAGATAATCGCGCATCGTTGAGCGCGATGCGCGAAGATAGGCGACCTACGACTAAGCGGAGGAGGAGGAGGAGGAGGAGGAGGAGGAGGAGGAGGTCGAGGAGGAGGAGGAGGAGGAGGAGGAGGAGGAGGAGGAGAAGGAGGCGGGGGAGGGGGAGGGCGGAGGAGGAGGGGAGGAGGAGGAGGAGGAGGAGGAGGAGGAGGATGATGATGAGGATGAGGAGGCGGAGGAGGAGGAGGAG